CATTCATTCATCCAGCAATACCATCACCTGTCTGCTTCCTCTGAGTTTAGCTCCTATGCTCATCCCTAACAGAAAGTGGCCTGATATTACCGTAACAAATCCTTTTACCAAGAGCGTCAAGAATGCTCGGGCCATCAGTCTGGAAATCTGACGATTCCCACCCCAATCTACACCGCATACTGTCTGTGTTTGCAGCTTAGGGATGAAACACAGACAGCCAGTTTCACATTTAGCTTGCGCACATGTCCTCCCTACATCTTAACTTTTTATAATACACATATGCGTTTCACAATCTATTTCATTTCTTCTTTTCGTGATCTCACGACGATCCATTCATTCATTCATTCATCCCTTCCTGCTGATGATAACAGGATGCTCCCACGGCCCAGCGCAGCCGTGCCAGCTCCCCCCAATTCCTGTTGAACGTTTTAAAAAAAATCCCCTTTAATTCAAAAGTAGCTCCTTTCTGAGAGGTGAGTGGAATGATAAGTAAAAGATCCCACGGGCCGTTTAAGCTCTGTGGACTGGAAGGAAGTACTGGATGACTCTGAATAGGCCGTTCATAAGACAGCGTTAATCCAAAATCCGGTGACCATTTAATTCGATTGGACGGGGGAGAGGAATAAAATAAGATAAAGAAAACAGTGGTGTTGCACATGTTGTAGCCGTTAGAAGGCGAATCGTAGAAGTGGACGGTCCAAAATGTGGAACGGCCGGAGTAGGACAAAAAGTAGGACTTGCAAGTAGCCTGGTTGATTGCATCTAGGAAGAAGGGCATCAGTTGGGAGGAAAGTGGTGCATTATAGAGCCGCTCGGACATCCAAGTGCATGATTACCGGATTTTCGCATAAAGTCCAGTCGTTTTTTCGGTAAATGCTCGCTTTGTGAAAAAATGACAAATGCAAATTTGGCCCAAAACAAGCACGCTGGCAGTGCCCTCTTTTAAAAGTTGCCTGCGAGGTAGGCTGAGGACGATTTGACCCTGGCAAGCTCAACTTACAGAAAACTAATTTGCTCCGTAGTACATCTGCAGAAGTATAAAATTCCACAACACCCCGCGGCTCAAAAAAGCCGACCTTCGGCCTTTTCATCGCTCTTCGTTCAGTCTATCGTATATTCGTCATAGTTTGGCCTCTCTAATAAATGTTGTAGGGCGAAAGAAAAATTTGTGAGAAGCCTTATCTAAGCTGGCTTATCCAAACAGCTTAGGATTTCCCCGTTCTCAACCCTGGTCCCTACCCTACTAAGCGTGATAAACTCGTGATACTAGTGTAAGTTCGGCTATTCAAAAACATACCCTCAACAACTTCACAATATTTATTAGACGCTGCTTCACGTTGCTTTTATCCGCTCCGTTTTCAAAAGCACCTTTCTCAAACGCTTGCACAATAATCATCAGAATTTGCGGAAGATTCGCATGATTCTCACCCAAAACCAACGGATTACTGCTGAAATACACTACAATTCGTAAGCAACAAAAAAAAAAGAAAAACAACTAAAACATCTTTAGCTTATTATAAACTTAGCACTTCTCGAATGAAAAGAATATGCTTCAGCAAAGCTGGGGGCGAAAGAGGGCCGGATGAAGGAACCTAGACACTGGCGAACAGAAAATCCTATTTTTTTCGAGTTTCAGACCACAAATTCATCATAAGCTACAAAATTCCTTTTTAGCGTCATGAGAAAACTACCTTCCTTTTAAAACTTAGCCCAAAAAGATCCAATGTATTCCCAAGGAAAATCTATGCATTTCTTTGCCTTATTACACAGATTTTAGTTCATAAATGAATGAATCCATAAACATCACAGTGTACTGCAACAAGAACTGAATTCGCGCTGATAGCCACTGTAAAAAAAAACAAAATACCTTTCGATAAGGTCAGCAAAATACCCGTAAACATGCGGTATTTCGTCAACGTCGTCCCAAACTGGAAGCCAACTTAAGAAGGTTGGTATGGCCTGAAAACAAAAAAAACCTACCATTAGCTCCAGCAAGCAAAATTAAATGCCTGGCCATGCGCAATAACAAAGTGATGATAATATTGTGCTATCAATAATAGGTTGCATTAAATTATAGAAAGAAAAATCAAAAAAAAAAAAAAAAACACAGTTTAAGAAAAATAACAAAATATGAATGAGAAACAGCTGGAAATGAAGACATTTCCCCCCGCAGGGTCAGATATATGGCTCTCGTCCTGTCCAAAGATAGCGCGGTTTCGGGGAAGGTAACTATGTAGGGGTTATCTACCTGCGCTTGGGTATAGTCATTCGTTTCGTTGTAACAAAAGTCGATATAACTCTTCTAA